GAAATTGAGAGTTGGATAATATCGTAATATCGGATATCGGCAGAAAAGCCAATATCGGACATCCCTACTGAAAAGTGTATAAATTATCTTTAAAAAATCATATAGAGATGGATAAATGGTTGAAACAGTTAAAAGTAACTGATAGGGTGTCAAAAACATTAGCTAAAAATGTATAAATTATTTTAAAAAATTATTTAACATTTAATCTAAAGAGGTCCTCCTCCTGAATAGAGTCAAACATTAGCAAAAAAATAAATAAAATTAGCTATAAATGATTGGAAAAAAATCATCTAAAAATTAAAAATTAAATAAAAATAACATAAATAATGGAAAACATTAGCTACAAAAATATATGAACGATTGAAAAAATAATAATATCCACTTCCATAGTCATCAGTGTGAAATAACATCAGAAACACGACGCCGGGTTCATCTGTTTGCTCATTAGCTGCTTTAGCTTTGCTTTTGCTGCTTGCTTTGCTGCTTTAAAGCCTGTTCAGGTATCATCTTACCACCTGTATACCACCTGTATCCACACTGTATCCACCTGTATCCACACTGTATACCACCTGTATCCACACTGTATCCACCTGTATCCACACTGTATCCACACTGTATCCACCTGTATACCACCTGTATCCACACTGTAATGTACAAACACTGTACAGCGGCTGTGGGACCAGCATGGGTGCGACATGCAGCACATTCACCAGGCTGAACTCATCGATAAGGTCGCTCTCTCCCGCAGATTGAAGGCCTTTGAGGAGAGCTCGGCGTACAAGGCGGTGTGGGGAGGAGGCTCCGGTCAGGACGGCGTCGTTTCCAATCAGCCGCCGTCGTCTCACGTGGTGGACGAGAGGGAGATAATGATCATGAGCGGAGGATACATACGGAGGTAGAGACAGTTCAGTGCTTACTGTAGGTGAGGCAGCAGCTGTTGTGTGTTTGCTCTCCTTTAGACCAGACCTGACATTTAATATCAACCGTCAGTCGAAGCGGGCAGCTGGCCAAACACGGGCCCGATATCACAGCACGCTAACGCCATCCCACTCTTCCTCAGGGTGACAAACGACGCCCGAGAGGACGAGATGGAGGAGAACCTGACTCATGTCGGCAGCATCATCGGGAATCTGAAGAGCATGGCGCTGGACATGGGCCACGAGATCGACACCGGGAACGTCCAGATCGAACGCATACAGGGAAAGGTACTGCTGTCACATGACCACGCAGAACGTCACAGAACAAATATCTACACATATTTATATTATGTTACCGTAAAACTCCTAATACTGAACTCGCCCTGCCTTTATTGGAGACCGCCCTTTAATTCCTTTTGCACAAAACTCTTAATAACCCTTTAAAGATGGAAAATACAACCTAAAAAAAATGATAAATGATCGAAATAGTTAAAAAAACAGATAAATTGTGGAAAACGTTAGCTGAAAAGTGGATAAATGATTAAAAATATAATATTAAAACAGATAAATGGTCGAAATAATTAAAAGTAACCGATAAAGTGTCAAAAACATTTGATAAAAATTGAAAAAAAAATCATTTAACATTTCATTTAAAGAGTTCCTTCTCCTGAATTGTGGACATTAGCGAAAAAAAATCTAAATGGTAAAAATTGCACAAAACAGATAAAGTGTCTAAAACAAAGCTAAAACATGTAGAAATGATTGAAAAAAATCATATAAAAACGGATAAATGGTAGAAATAATTAAAAGTAACAGATAAAGTGTCAAAAACATTTTTAAATTGTATAACAATGAAACATGTTTTTTTTAAAGCTGTAAACTGAATTATGTGACTGTACTGGGATGAAACACGTGAATATTCACATTATTATTCATAAAAAAATCTGCATTTCGAGGATTAAAAACCGCCTCAGCGCCCTCTACTGTTACAGGATGTATCTTCAGTTAAGAGGACATACTGCTCATACCGTTGCAATGAAGCAAACCTCCTGTGTTTAACTCCCCCCCCCCTCTCTCTCTCTGTGTGCAGGCTATCCTCAACGTGTCCCGCATCGACGCCGCCAACCAGAGAGCCAACAACCTCATTAAACGATAGAAGGAGCTGCTCCCCGTTCTCCATCCTTCCTGCAGTTACTGTGCTTTTGCATGCCGTGCCAAAGTGTCTCTACTGTAACTGTACTCGTGTCCAGCTGTCTCGTCTTTATAGTATTCCTATTTATTCTCTTAATATCTGATAGTGGTAGTTCTTGCTGTGGGGGATTGCACAGCTACAGGCCTTACACACTGCGGACTTCCCCTCCAGGTGGCCTCTGCGCTCACTCGGCTGAGAGTGTTAGAGCATACGAAGCTTTAATGATCCCTGTGTGTGGGGGGTGGGGGGGGCACGATCACAAATCAATAAAGTGGTTCACAAGAAGAGGTGAAAGTGTGCAGAAGAACACAGCGGAAAGCGGCTCTGGAGCTTTCTGAGGCCAACAAAACAAAAAACAGTCTCTGTATGTGCAGATCAGCAAATATCTGTTAAAGGAGCACTAAATAAAATACTTTATAAACATCAGCAACCAGTTTATTCCCCAGTGTAAACATCAGTGTGTAACCCCCCCCTCTTCCTGTAGTCAGGGTGAAACACGTGCGTGACGGCGCCCTCTGCAGGCGCAGCCCTCGAGAAGGAAAACACGTTATTTGTCCCCAGAAGAAGATCTCTGGTGACACCAAGCGGACAAACGTGGAACTGCCATCCATCCTGAAGCTCTCCATCTTCCTCCCTCTCTTCCCCCCACGCTCTTATAAAATGGTGGTGATGAATTCTCTGTGCTGGTCGTCTTATTGCAGACGTGTGTTGAATGTGAGGTGGTTTCTGCGTGTGCTTTGTTGTTCACAAACTGTTTTTAATGTTAGTGTGTTAGTACGATGAAGCTCGTGACCTCTGCTGATCCAAACAGGGCCTCCATGTTTGTCACACAGCCACTAGAGAGCACGCAAAGTGATGTTTTTAATGTGATTAAAGGCTTAAAAATGAATAAAAATTGTGCGCAAAAATGTGACCTGCACGTGTTTGGACTCGTTAATGACGTCAGTGCTG